TTCTATATATTTCTTTATAAATACAGAAACCACCGAACTTCCTAACCCTGGGGAAAAAATTGCAATGTCGACGTCAGGAAATAAAGGACCCGGCACAGGAACGAAACCATTAGTTCAAAAGAATAGGACGCCTGGAAGTGTAACACCTCGCAATATATTCCATGTTTGTAGTTAACAAAATATCTTACAACGAGTATTACCAAATTACATTAAAATCTAGTGCGGCGTTAATTTTTTTTATACCATTTACATACCATTTTTTATTTTTTTTAACCATTTTTTTATGATATCGAGCATACATTCGATGCTCTAGTTCATTATACAAAAAGATTCATCGAAGCAACGAGTTTTTGTTTAATTGTTCTGCTCATCGATTAGTCATCAAAATTATGCATTATCACGAACATTTGCAGTTTAATTAATAAGCGATTTAATAATCAACTTTGAAGTAGGATTAAATGATCTTTTTAGCATATTGCTCAACGAAAACAGGGCTAGGCGACACAAAACAAGATCTTCATAAATCAAAATATTTTATAGAAATACGAATTACGGAAACGTTCTGGGTCTGAAAAATAAAATAAATTTTAAACAACGCGATTTCAGAAAGACCCTTCTGGCAATACGACAGACGATGCTTCGAGCAGTACCAAGTCTCATACTAATTCCGCGCGCCGTTCACCCGCAAAGATGGCTGTCAGTCCCACCGCGTACAAGAGGCCATCTTCTTCGACGCCTGCCGTTACTGCGATTAAACTCGAGAAACAGTATCAGATGAAAAAGGACCGTTTCCAGAGGCTTAAAAAGGATCTGATAGATAAACAGGTACAAAATAGTCTGTTGTTATATCTTACAACTAATAGATAGAAACAGTGTTATCAAAAGTTTTAGCAAAAGTTTTAGCAAAAACCGAGTAATCAATGCATGATTTCAAAGTTAATTAGCATTTTAGAGGATTTAAATTATTTTTACAGTGCACAAGTAGTTTCGTTTGCAAGTTCTCAGGTAGACCAATCAAACTTCACGCTAAATTCAAACGAAATAATAAAATTATATTTCAAAAAGACAAATAACAAACATGTGATTATCAAAATTAGATAACATCGTGGACGTTTAAACAAAGTCCGATTCCATTTATCGCTGAAATTTACGTTTTATTGTCTCGTCGTCTCTTTTTATTAACACTAAACCTACCGCGGTCAAAGTGACCGCTTTCTTATTTTGCAATTCTGCAAAGTTCCGAGACTCTTTCGTGGAAAATATTATAATAAAAACTTTACAAATTCCAAATAAATTCGGTCTTCTCACTTTTGCGAGGCAGTACATGCCAGTTAGTATTACTGCTCGGTAGGTTTAGTGTTAAATAAATTTTCTGTGTCGCAATTCTGCAATTTTTTCTCCATTAACTTGTCCGAATCAATTCAATGTTTAGAAAATAATGCTACAGGATTCCCAAATTTAAAAAGCATAGTATTTTCCATTTCTTACTAATCGATCCGACGACGCTTCATTCGCGAGGAAAAACAAACGACCTGAAATATTCGCAGAAAGTGGCTCAGGACCTGTTCAACGAGATGTCGCAGCTACGGGAGAAGGTGATCGCAAACGGTACGAAGGATCCAGGGAAGCTGGACGATCTGAGGATCGAAGTGGGCTCCCCGAAACACCATATTCCAACGGAGAATGTGCTGCAGGAGCCAGCAGAGAACATCGAACGTAAGTTGGACGCCATCGGTGTTCAATTCATCCAGCGTCTCGAAGAGCAGTTGCACAAGATTCCGCAAAAGTCTAGGAATCTTTGCCGAGACATATTGAGCAAGCAGGCCGAGCTGATAGACTTCGTGGCGTCGCGATTGAAGTCTGGCAATGCTTACGAGACCGAAGGGGACAATCCTGACTCGGAGATGGCTACGAAGCTTGAGACGCAACAGAAGGACATCGATAGTCTGCGAATATTTTTGGAAGGGGCCGACGCGATGGACACGAAGATTATCGAGGAGACATTGGCGGACATTCGTGGTCTAATAGCAACGTATGAGTGCGAGCAGGCAAAGCTGAAGGAATCCAAGAAGATGGAGGAGCAACAGGAGCTGCAATCGCAGCTGAGCAAGGTTCTCGAGGAGCTGCAGTCGGAGAAGGACAAGTGCCACCAGGGCAAGGAACGTTTGCGTCAGGTTGATTCGCAATGTCAAAAGATGAAAACGAAACTTCGCGAGATGGAGACAGAAGGGGTTACCAACGAGGAGAAGATTCAGTCGTTGCAGGCGAGCCTAAAGAACCTGGCCGCTCAGATGAAGCAGAAGGAGCAGTCGATGGAGACGAAGCTGAAGGAGATGCAGAAGACGCTGAAGGGCAGCGAAGCATTGATCTCCAAGGTCGAGAAGCAGAGGGACAGCTTCGAGTCACGGTTGTTTGCTGTCAAATGCAGGATCTTGTTAAATGCTTACCGATCGCTGATCGAACAGCTAACAGAGCTGAGCATTTAAGGAGATCCTACCGCAATTCGTTTACCACTTTCTCTAATTCGAGTTACATCGTAGACTGTTCGAACTGAAGGAGAAGATGACCGCGAAGGAGAACGAGACGATGAACACTATTAAAAACCTGTCGGAGAAGCTGGACACTGTCACCTGGGAGGTCGGCCAGGAAAGACAGGAGAAGTAATTATGACGAACAACTTTCATGGTCCCTGAAATCATGATAAGCTTTCTATTGGGTTGGCAACTAAGTAATTGCCGATTTGTTCAATGAAATAAAGAATTTTTTTTACTTGGAATGAAGTTTAATCTGTAATTTATTTTCCATTTCGTTCGACGACCTTTTGCCATCTCTCTGACAACTTGAAAATTCCACGCTCGTAGAAAGTCTGATCCTTTTCGGCCAAAAACTGAGTTAAGTGAGATTTTACAGCGTCATCATCATTAAAAGTTTTACCACGAAGGGAGTTGTCCAGGGATCGAAATAAGTGGTGATCCGATGGCGCGAGATCAGGGCTATATGATGGGTGTAACATCAATTCCCAAGCAATATCCATCAATTTTTGCCGAGTGGACAAAGACGTGTGCGGCCTAGCATTGTCCTGCTGGAAAATGATACCTTTACGATTGACCACTTCTGGTCGCTTTTCCCGCTGCATTCAATTTGTCCAGTTGCTAACATTCACGGATAATAAAAAATAACATAATAATAATAATAATAATAATAATAATTTTATAATATAACATTTACGGATATCATAAAAATGGGAGTGAGAGACATCTATAACTGAAATCGGCAATTACTTAGTTGCCAACCCAATATAAGATCTCGTATGTGCGAGCGTCACGGTTCTTCAAGATGGTATCTTGTTGATCGGTGTATTAATATTATGGACAGTTTATCACGATCATGTATCGTTTCATTTCGAGCAGACAGAAGATCGAATATGAGTTCAACGAATTGGCGGAGCGTTACAGGCAGCTCGAAGAGAAAAGCAACCAATTATACGATCTCACCGAGAAGAACAAGGATTTCACTATCACAGGTATGGAACACGAGGAGCAACTTTCGTTACGATAGCAAATCGTTGACTAACTTGCCAGATGGAAGCCACTCGGAGAACGAAGTCCGGTTGTTCAACGAACTACAGGAGACCAAGGATGAGCTGGAGTTGCAGAAGCAGATGGTGCTGGAGCTGCAGCAGGAGAAGGAGGAGATCGTTGCGGTGATGCACCAAGCGGCCGTTAGTTTGCACTACTTTCGGGACAAGTCCTAAGAACCGTTTGATTAGATCGTCCTTTCGTTCGTTAGACTGTCTACTGGTCATTGTCAACGACCGATGATTAATTGCTGATCCTCTTTTTATTTCGTTTCGTTCTCGCGACCCCAGAATCGCGCAGAGGATCAAGATTCTAGAGAGAAGCTGGCCGCAGAGTTGGTGTTCAAGACCACCGAGCTGAAGAACCTGATGATGCAGTATACGGAACTGAAGAAGATCGCAAAAAACGCGTAAGCTTCCCAGAGACGTTATTTGGAGTTGCCAATTGTAATGAAATATATTCAACGGGCGGTTCTTCTGCGACTGGTTTTGGGAATGAGAATTACCTTCAAAACATGAGGATGAGACACCTTATCTTGTAAAGAACTTTTTGACAATTAACGTGATTAATGCATGCCACGAGTGCACAAAAATCCACGCCTAATCATTACGATTGGAATCTTCGAGTCGGGGGACGTTCCTGGTACGAATCTTCTTCAAGGTCGATTTGAATCGTTTGAGATCTGCTGAACAACCCACAGCCAAGAAAAAAATGGGATGTTAGAAAAGCAGCTGATCGAGATCCAGTCGAGGCTGCACTCGCAGACAAAGGAGGGTGGCAAAGCTGGGCTAAATGCACACGCAATCGAGTTACAACAAGAGGTCTCCGATCTGCGCAATAACTTAGCAGAAGTTCTGCAGCAGAAGGAGGAGCTGGAGACCGCGCTGACCCAGAAGCAGTTGGAGCTTGAGCAGCGGGACCACGTGATGCGCGAACAGAGCAAGTTTCTCAAGGTGAGGGACGAGCTGCTGGAACTCCTGAAGGGCAAGACCGAGGGGGAGAACGGCGAGGCAAACACCGGCGAGAACAGCGAGTACATTGACCAGGTACTTCAAAGGAGTATATACTCCCTCTCAGAAATTTATTTCTTCAAACTCGTCAACTACATGGTAAAGTGTTGCTGAAACGAGACAGTTGTCGGAAATATGTGATCAAAAACTTTCAAAGTGGCTCACGAAAGTATTCGAACGGTGGGGTATGTATAACTTTGACTTCATATATTTAAATGAATATACATTGAAGGAAAAAAATCCTTTACGGTATATTGGTGTAATTAAAAATATACGAAAATACGTAAGATTTCGAACGCCTTATAAAATTGTTAAATTAAACTTCTTGAAACATATTGTTAAACAACAGAGGTATAAAACTAATAATCAAAATTTTTAAAAAATTTATTTAAAAATGTTACAACTCTCTCTTAATTTTATAAGGCGTTCGAATTCTTATATGTTTTTCTATATTTTTGTAGGTAACGTTTTGTATTAAATCGAAAGTTCTTTGTATTTTGACATTTATATACTTTGCTATAATATATCCTAAATATATCCTAATATATGTATATTGTAAATATATATATACTATACTATACTAGTTATACTAGCTATACTACTATATATATAGTATAGCTAGTATAACTAGTATAACTAGTATAACTTTGACTTCTATACCATATACTTAAATAAATATACATTGATATATTATTACGATTATCAATGTATATTTATTTAATTATATGGTATAGAAGTCAAAGTTATACTAGTATAGTATAGTATACTATACTATACTAGTTATACTAGTAGTTATACTAGTTATACTAGTGTTCGAATACTTTCGTGAGTTACTTTATACGTCAGAGCTATTTAACAACGTGTCGAACTTGATAAGCAGATAGCCCTGAAGACGGAGGCGATCCAGGAACTGTACACAACCCTAAAGAGCAAGCAGATGCAGGTGATGCGCCTGGAGAAGATGGTGAAGCTGATGGAGGACCAGCAGGACCATGCCCAGGCGCAGCGTACGCGTCTGGAAAACCGTATCGCTCAGTTGGAGATAGCCTTGCAGAGGACCAAGGATCAGCGGTATGTGAGGAACAGGTTGTCCCTCCCTCTCAAGTCTCAGACGATCGACGGTCAGAGTCATTGCAGCATCTCCGATCAGTCTCTTTCCCAGCACTCCTCTGTGTCGAATTGTTTCCCTTATCGCAACCCCTACGATCCGGCCATCAAAAGGTCGGACACCGTCCTCAGCACCATAGCCTCACAGACCGATGTTAATCAGTCCTACAATGACCTCAAGGTCGTCTCGTGGCAGAGTTCCATCGACGAAGAGCCGCAGTACTTGTGCGAACGTTGTCGCAGGATGGGATCCTTGATCAAGGACGAGCAGCGGTCGAGTAAAGACAGCTCCAATGAGGATTTGTCCACTCTGGAGACAAGACAGTATTTAAACGATGATTATCATGAGAACTTCTATTACGACCCACCTGTGATTAAGAGTAGGAAATTCATCTCTGCGAAGAGCAGTCCCCATACAGAATCTGCCAGCGTGTACGACAGTAGCAGGGAGTCGTACGACCCTTATATAACCAAGGGCTGTCAACGTTTGCACGCTCCTCGCTATTACGTTCGGCTACTGCCGACTAGTAGGTACCTCTCTCGCAAGGAGGGCTTGTAGAATCGTCTCCTGTTGTTCCTGTTTGCTGATGGTTTTTTGAAGGGTTCCTTGTAGGAACAAACTCCTCGTGCTGTCTACGTGGCAGCAACGTCTTGTTTTTACTTTGAAATTTATGGAAAAGATCTGTGCGGTGGAATTAGTGAAATTAAGAGCTGTCTTTGCTTCTGAAACTATTGTCACGCTGTTTTAAGTATGGCAAATGGTCTTTATGAATGTTTCGGTTATCATCGTTGTCGACACCTGTTAGTGATAGAAATTCACACGTTAAATGTTGCTTCTCTATAGGAACATATGTAACATATACATTTATAAATAAATCCGAATGTTGTTTACATGGTCTGATTTAATAGGCTAGGTACTCCCTGCTACAGTGTTTAAAATCATGTATCGTTGATTTGAAAGTTCCTTACAAAGTGCCTAGCCTTTGAAACAGACCAGCCTTTGTATTGTCCCAGTTGCATCTCTGATCGATTTTGTTTCGTGTGTTCTAGGGGTAAAGGCTTCAGCATCCTGTAAGGAACTTTCTAAACATCGTCGGTACAAATGAAATAAAATTCAGAGGTCCTGACACGAACGGATTATCCTAACTCCATGATGCAACCATGCATTTAGTGGGTGGCGCGATGCAATGCGATGCAAATCATAAGAAATACACATAGACTTGGCAATTTAGATCCAAAATTCATTGTAATTGTTAATCGAACGTACGTTTCAATTTATATATGTATATTCAATGAAACCTTTTTATATTTGTGTAATACGTTTGTAGATACAGTTTATTTTATAAAATTAAAATTTTATGTACAATATCGAATTCTGTGTTATTCACTGTCGTTCTCACTGCTGTCAGAGTAAGCCCCCAATAAGGACAAAGCATTGTTGGCATTGCTTGTTTTACTATCTGTGGTTTCTGATTTGCTTGTACTTGATTTGTTAGTACTTGTCTTGTCTGTAGAACCTGCTGCAGTTTGCGCTTCATCTTTTTCTGTACTACTTTGTGTGGAACTTGAGTTCACTTTCACACCTAAATTCGTTTTTCTTTTAACTATTCCTAATAAACCTTTTTTGCTTGACGATGATCCGACGTTCTCTGACCAAAGAGATGAATCGGAGGTTTTTGCAGGTTCACTGTTTCTCTTCTAAAATAAAAAAGAGAGAAACATTATTTTCATGATTTACTTGTATACATTAACTTTCATGCAACATTAAAAATATATTTACGCTCTCTTTTTCTATCTTCAAAGTACTGCTACCACTGTTCTCCTTCTTTTTACCGGTCTTCATTGTTTTCTTTGGAGGTTCACCCCTTTCTTCTTCATCCAATTCTACGATTTCTTCTTCTACAACAACTCCATTCGATTGTTTCTTGCCAAATACTGATCTAATATACTGTTCATCGTACTCCTCTTGCTCCTTCTCCGTCCTCAATTTAGCTGCCTCCGTGTCGAACTGTTCTAACATCTGATCATAATCGATAGTCTGTTGTCTACGATTCAAATCTTTCAATTCCTCCAATGATTCTAACAACTCCAATTCCTGTTTCGATTGCAATGTCCTTTTTTCCAAGAGCTTCATAGGATTGGTAGCCTCCTCTTCTTTCTCTTCGTCCTCTTCCCTTTGCGCTTGTTCTTCTGCCAATTTCAGGGCCATAAAATTCCTGGTTGCTCCAGCTTCGATCTCATAATCTGTATTTTTGGGATCGGTCTTGAAACTGATCTCTTGGAGGCATCTGGTGCATTTTATGTAAAACCTGTAAATTCGTATTCCTAAATAGTCATCGCCTTCAACATCCTCCTTGCGGGCATTAAATTTCTTTCCTTTGTAAATGTACTCTCCACAAGTTTTGCATCTCATGTTGAAAGGTGCCATCAAACGTACCGTGTACTGCCTGTTTCGGGCCAATTTCATCCGAGGTATTTTAGACGGATCGAAATCTGGTGGATAGTATTTCTAAAAAATAAAAATCGTGAGTAATTCATTCAGCAAAACTGTATACATATAAAATCAATAAAAAATAAATAACGGATTCCAAATTCGAACGTTTTATAATAACGTAGAGTGTTACTCACGTTTAAAACTTTCCGTTCCGACATTTTGCTGGATTAACTCAGCGATATTACTGACAAAAATATTTAGCAACACGTAAACAGAACGACGTAAAGGCCGTATAGGTTAGGATCAAGTTAGGTTAGAGTTTGCCAACAAGTCATTGATGCACAATGTCCTCTTTAAATAGTCCTACCACACGTGTAACACAAAAGGTAATGTTGCCAAGCCTGTCAGTCTCAATTTGAATTTAAATTTGAATTTGAATTTTTAAATGGTTCATTACAAATATCTTTGGGGTACGATTATTTTAAATGAAACATGAGATACAATGTTCACTATCATACAAGCACAAAGCTTAAACGAATTAATACAATACAGTATTGATTTAAACTTGTTTTAAAATATCTTATAATGCAGGCATAAATCAGAAATTTTGCGTTTACTATTATTATAAATACTACACTAATAAAATAATTTCAAAAGCTACTGTAATTGTTTAGTAAATATTCGATTTCGAAATTAATACTTAATGATATATTACCAACAATAACATCAAGAAAATTTATCAAAGAAAGATCACGATTTATTAAAGAAATTGTCGCTTGACGTTATTATATAATCATTGTAAATTTGATGAATCGTTTATAATAAAAATAATTATATATATAATAAATATATATAATATATATATATATAATTATATATTATAATAAAATAAAGAATAAA